ATCAAGGGAGATTTTAGCTTACTCCAGGACTGTAAGCTAAACTTTAACACTGAAAAATACATCTCAGAGAAATGTAATTGCAAACTACTTCTGTACTGCTGCCAAGAAAACTATATGGTTAAACTGTGTAGTCACCAGGAACTGATCTTGACTTGAGGAAGTCCTAATCTTTATCTTAAGAGTGTTTTGCTTTTGTTAATCTAATTCAGGTAGAACAGAATACATTAACTACAACACTATGGAAATGTAGCTGGGACTAAGTCTACTGTATATAATGGAAATTATGTCTGTATGAGCATGCTATGAAAATAAAATAAGATCATTGCCAGAGTTGCATCATAATTGTATAACTTACATTCTTATGCTGTTTTTCTTCTGGAACTAAATATACATGAAATCATATAGTTGGCGTTTTGATGCATCAGAAATTGTTCAAATATCTGTTTACTTTCATATGGAGGCTTCCATCTCAGTTGATCTTGGCCTACTTTAGAGGATCAGGCCAACTGAAGTAATTACAATTTCATGGTGGCTGCTAAGAATGCACCCTGGTGAAATATGAACTGAATAATATTTGACTTTCAGATTCCAGCCTGTGGATTATTCATGAATTTATATTTTGGTGTTTTTGGCTTGCTCGTGTTTCTCCATTGATGGGGAAAAATATGTGAAATGGGTTATCCATAATCATACAGTTAGCACATGTCAGAGACAAAACACAGCACTCATCAAGTAGTAACAATTAGAGTGCTGCAGGAAACATTTTGCCTCTGTACCGTATTTATTTCAGAAAACTTTAAAATCTGCTGGAGAAGGCAAGAAATAAAGCACAAGCCTACTGCCTTCTAAACTAAGCAATTCTATGATCCTTGAAACAGAATATTTGCAGTTCTCCCCAAATAATGTTACATTTCAGCACTGGATTAGACTTTTATAACATACAATTTTCTATTTAACTAAGCAAAGAAGCATTTTTCTAAAAAAAAAAAAAATCAGCATATGCTGTTGATTAAAAAATAACTTATTTTCAGCAGTGAATGTTACAGTATTAAGACTGATATCTTCAATGAGATCTGACAGTTTATCAACAAACACTAAATGTTCTGTTCTTTAATGAGATTAACATTAGACAGATCAGTTTTTTCAGTAAAAAGGTTTATCAAATAATTTTTCCAACAGAAATCTGCACAGTAGAATGAAGGAAGAGAAGAAATAAGAGATTCCAACTTATCAGTAAGACTAAAACAAAAATAATTTGAGGTTTCAGGAATTATTCTATATTTTCAATGTCCAATTAGTTGCCACACCTAACAGATGCTACATAAAAAACACAAGGGAAAAAAAGCTTTGACAAGCTTAAGAAGTTGGTGCTTTTCAAAATAGTCCGGATTGAATGGATGTTAACAAATATAAGAAAAAGGACTTGGATTCCACAAATAATTCAGCATTTTATATTTTACAACATTTTTGTGACTTCACCCATTCATGAACAGAATAGGAACCTACTAGCTAGATAAGCTTCAGCTGAGCTAATGGCATGCAGCAATGCTGTTCCAAAGTAATATTCACAGACTACCAATACTCAGCTGAGCAATCATAATATTTTAATTTTTGTTCCAATTCTACATTTCACTATGTCATCACACATTTTTACAAAATTTCATTTTCCGCAGCTTGCTGCAGACCATGACATTTTTTAAAAGAGAAAGTGATAGATTCTGGGTTGTGGGGAAGAAGCATAAAGGTACTGATGCATCCTGTTGTTCTTCAACCATTCTTACCTTTTCAGAACGCAGAGACTAGCAAAGCCTCAAACAGTTGCATTCTCAGCTACACTACTATCCTTACTGAAAATGCAAGCAGTCTTAATGTGTCTACCTAGGGGAACATAGCAGATATGCTAATGATGTCTGGGGGGAGGGGCAGAAAGAGAGAACCTTCTTACCAAAGGTACCTGCCAAGCCATTATTAAAGATGTTTTACAACTATGACAAAGAAAACAGCCATCAGCCTCTATCAAAGCAAGGAACACAATGAAAACGTAGTACACTTAAAAAGAAAAAAGAAAGAGAGGCAGGGATGAGTTCATATCCTTTAGTGTCCCCTATCTTTTGAGCAGTTACTGTACAGTCCACCTAGTTTCCAAACCCAGTATTAAGAGGATTTTTAATGTATTCCTGACACTCTGACCTCTACTGTCAAGCTTCCACCAATCAGGGGGTTGCATTTCTTACAAAGCTCCATCAATCTGGTGATTTAACATCACAGACTGCAGCTTAATCTAGAGGATTCCATTTTCCCTTCTGCACACCAAGGCAGTGCACCATTATATAAGACTGCTTCTTTCTTCTCTCCCAGCCTCCTCTTCTGCGATCTCCCAAATGCCCGCTTTGCAAAAGAACACAAGGAGGAAAAACAGCGCTAATACTGCAGCCCTTTGATTATTTATCTTTTCGTGTATGCTCGCACACAAAAATGCACTCACTCCAGAATGCGTACCTTATTATCACCATGCAAACAAACAAACAAAAAAGAAAAGGAGGGGGGAGCTGGGAAATGAGGGAAGGAGAAGAGCCTCGATAAGACAGAAAGAATACTGTATTCACAAGATGTTTTTCACCGAGACAATGCAAGGAGCTCATTAAAGCTGCTAAACATGCTACACGCTGACGAGGAGACACGCTAGATTAGGTTTTAAAGCCCCGCTGTTTTTATTATGCAATGCCCTGCAAGCCCGCTCTTTTCCACCCGACACTGCAGCAATTCTCCAGGGCTGTGTGTGTGTATGTCCGTGTCCACGACGCGCACGCAACGCGCACGCCCAAGCTCCCACACACGGCGGTGGGAGAGAAAAGAGAACGAGGGTTACCTGTAGGAACGCTCCCCTCGCACTGTGTGCTTCCTGAAAGGAATGATGGTGCCGTTATCCTGGATGATGTCGTTGTTGTTCTCTCCATTTGGGGACAGCGCTTGAGTAGGACCAGGCATTGGAGCCTCCCAAAAGCAAGCAGCCCGAACCTGGGTGCCTGGGCGAGGAGAAGCTGGGACCGGCTGGGCGCTCGCGTCTTCCCCTTTACTACCGACTCCGTCCGTCCCTCCTCGCCGCCGTCTTCTTCCCCCCTCCTCTCTGGCCGGTGACGTCAAATAGCCGGGAGCAGCACCCAGGCCATGTGACCAGCCCCTCACCGTAGCAACCAGCTAACTCATCAGATCTCCTCGATTCACACAGGGCTTGAGCGTGGCCACACGGAGGCAGCCAAACAGGCGCAAGGGGCAGGGCTAACATCTGGCACGTAGAACCCACTCCGCTTGGCGCGCGCCCCCGCCTCGCTTCCTCGACGATTTCCCTCCAGCCGTGCGCTCCCATACAAAGAGCCATCCTTAGAAAGAGGGAGGAATCGAAAGAGAGCCTGTGTGCAGATTTTAAAAAGACCTCCCTACGGTATTCGGTTTAGCGTTTTCCTTCACGCCCCACCCCGTTCGAAAATTTTACAGAAATCATCCTGCTTTTTCGGGCAATTCAACTATGCTTGGCCGACCGTAACAGAGGACGGAGGAGCACAGTCAAAACACGCGACCAACGGCTCGGAAAACCCGAGCTTTAGACTTACGGGGTTCCCTTTACCGTCAATAATCGCCCCGGATGAAGCTTGGAAAATGTGCACAGCATGGGAAATAGTTCTCGGTAGATAAAGCAGGGGAGATGGTGGGCTAAAGGCGAGTTTTCCACACGGACATGCTTAAATGGCTACTACCCTATTTTCTCTCCTTTTTCCATTAAGGAGATTTATTTTCGAGCGAAGAACAGCATGATAAAAGGCTCTTCCCGCTCCTAAGTACAGAGACAAGCAAAGAGGCATTTCCGACTCCCTCTCCTTCCTCAGCAGTAATGTGGTTCATTTGTTATAATTATAACACAAGCAAAGAAAACAAAACTAAAGGCCTTTTGCTCATAGCTTCATAATCCACCATCATCTCCACCCTGACAAGGCCAAATTATCTTTGGCCTCAAATGACTGAAAGCAGTATCAAAACCACTCACTGTGTACCAAACTGAGATGGTGACAATAATCCAAATATTAGCAATGTGGACATAAATTCTAGTCCCTGAGCACATTTAAGGTGCTTGCGTGGTATAATCTTCATCAATGTCATCATAAAATCGCTTCTCAGACATAGATACGCTTTTCTTCCTTATTATTGACAAAAAATTGAGCAAAGCGGTGCTGCTGAATTTTTACAGTGCATTAAAGATCTGACTATAAAGTCTGCTCATGTTCTTAATAAACATTTTTTATCTTCCTCTTACAGATTCCTGGCAGGAAAGAGGATCTAAGAACTCTCCTTTTTTAAACAAAGGCAATTGAAATCACCTTGAAAAGTTCAAATGCATTTTAACAACCTCAGAGCATTCACTGAATCTATTCAATGGTTTTCTTCCTTCAGAATATGCATGAAGAGGAAGGCAGTTAAACGTTTTTTGTAAAAAGTTAACAGATCTTGAAAACGAATAACCACACTCCTTTGGTCTCAAATGTCCCTGCCTGACAATTGTTTTCAACTACTTACCATAAAGTAATAAATAAAGCTTTGATTATGTCACCTTTTAAGCATGGGGGAGGGGGGAATATATCCACTCAAATTATAAATTTTTTTGAGTAGCTACTCTAAATAATAGGTAGCTCATTGTGGATTTTGCAAGATTAATTTAGTTCAACTGAGTAAGCAGGAGCTTTTCTGAATGATAGGCTTGGAAACTTCAGAACTAAGGACCAAATAAACACAATTATCCATTATTTTCTGTGAATTCTTAATCTATGTGCGTACCATATTTTCTCCAAAGCTGCTTAGGGTGAAGTTCATATTATTACCCTTCCCCATGTGATTGTTAAAACAAGCCTATAGGTTCAAGTGTCTACTATGAACTGTTTCAAGCATGATTTGCAAAAAATAAGATTTATGGACCATAAGGGCTAGGTTCACAAATCATGCTAAACAAAATCCTTATTTATTTATTTATTTATTTATTTATTTATTTATTTATTTTTTCCTTCTTTCTTTCTTTCTTTCTTTCTTTCTTTCTTTCTTTTTTATTTATTTATTTATTTATTTCAAATTTAGTCACTGCC